GGTGCCACAAGTACTCCTGTTCTTTTTGCGGATACAGACTAACACGGCTGCTACTCTGAAACCTGAAGTAGTTCTCTGTCCCCGTTGCTTGGAGTGATCTTGAATCATCTGCAAGTTTCATTCCCATGCTGTTGACTCTTTCCTCCACTTCATTACTGAAGATGTCAGAATAGGACCTAACACGTTCTGGTCTCCTTGGGTCCCTCCAAACACTACGTATTGGTGCTTGGTTGCCTCCCACTTTCCACTGCCATACAAATTATTTTTTAACCATAGCTCTTTGGCTAGCTCGCTCTTCCTTCAGTTGAAGCCCCACTTTTCTGTCCAGAGGGTTTAAACCACAGTGACTTCACCTTCCTCGTGTAGCTACTAATGTGGCCTTGTGTTTTCTTTTTAGAACTTGTTATGAAGACATGTTAAAAGAGTGAGTATTCTGACCCCACTTCTTCCTAAGTACCATGGCAGTGTAGACTCCTGAGCTGGAGAAGTAAAGATTGCTTTGACAGTCCAGGGCTGCGTGATTTAAATGCAACTGTTAACAAAGCAGTCTCTGCTCAGCTACTTCCAACAAATGCTGTGCAATGTGTTCATGTTGTACATCACCTTTCTCATTGACTACGCTGTCATGTAATCCCATTCATAAACTTATTGACTACATCTTCAAGCTAGTTGGGTTGTTTTCCCCACTGCTCCTGTGGGGAGCTGTGCCAGCCCCTCACTCCTCTGATGGACAGACGCCTTCTGCTCCTTTCCAGCCTAAATTTATTCATGACCAGTCTATCCCCATTGGTCCTTGTGCCAACGTTGTTCTTTACGTTCAAGAGCTCTTCTCCCTCCCTGGGGTTTTCCTCCCCGTCCTGATGTATTTAAACTGACTCTGTCACACCAGCATCTTCCTGACTTGTATTTTGTCTCCTTGCCAGAGGTTACCGATGCCCCCTGTGCATGCACTCAGCTTTAGATATGTCCAGGTACTGGCGACAATTGGATGACGAAGTGGCGCAAACCCCCATGCCCACGGAATATCAGAACATGATGGTGGAGGTAAATAGTGACACTTTTCTCACCGTGCCCCCTTCCAGTCTCCCTCCATTATTGGCCACTCTCTGCCCTCCTGTTAGCCGGAGTAGAGAGCAAGCGGAGCTCTCGCTGAAACAAAAGGTAATGTTACCCTTTGGCATGATGCAGAACAATTGTTTCTCATGTTCAGGGGATCAGGTGACCAGCTAGGTGAAGAACTATGTTGTTCCTTACCCACTTGCGCCCTGGTATAGCATTGCACTAGGCGGGGGGGTAAGAGAAGCCGGGGGTATTACTCTTCTGAAACATCAGACAACACCAGATCAGGGAGCCACTGTCCTCTGCAGGAACAGGAATGTATGTTCTCGTCCCATTTCAGAGTCAACGTACTGTTTGTGCAAAGCACTCGGACGTTTGCCAGTGTTAGAGTGGCAAATTGAGTGCCGCTATTCTAGCCAAGGGTAACTCAGCCCTTGACATCCACATTGGGCCTGGCTTCTGCTTGCTAGTGAGACTTAAATTAGGGTCAGGGCTATGTAACTTATTCCAGCCGCACCCACAAAGCCAGCCCAGATGCCCCACTTCTTGGATTGAGGATGGTTCTGCCTTTTTAGTTGATGTAGAAAAGAACGTATTTCCTAGAATGGGTTATCTGCAGCGTCAGGGAGCCCCCGCAGACGGAATTAGCGTAACCAGAGCTTTGTGTCCTCTCCAGTCTTCATCTGCTGGATTGTCTTGGAAGGCCAAATTTGTTATGCATCTAATGTGCAAAAAATAAAAAGGTAATCAAAGTTGTTAAACAGCACACTTATCTAAACCGTATTAGTAAAAAAAATTCATAATATTAAAAAAGAAAATTTGCAGTTTGCAAGGCTTAGAAGGTCTTAAACCTAGGGCACCACATGAAATTAATAATTAAACTGCGCCAATTATAATTGCTGTTTAAAATGAACAGGAAATCATAAAAAAATTATATAATAATTATTATTTATAAATGAACAGGAAATCATAAAAAATTAGTATATGTAACAATATAGGTACAATAGAAAATAAGATCTATAACCAGCATTATCCCAGTGTAAAAATGGCAACATGAGGGAAAAATAAAACAAAGACAGCCTGCTGTAAACAAATCAAGCACAGATGATTCTGTAAGTGCTCAGCTGAAATAAACCTGACCACCAGTGCGGGAGTTTGGGCCCAACTAGTCATTAAAGAGATTTGAAGGAGGTGGTACTGCTAGGGACACCCTATGTGCTGTGAAATATCACAACTTCTCGGTGGAGACAACACCATGCCAAGGGAGCCTGAACCTCACCTCTCTGACTGAGATTGGGACCCATGCCTTATGGCCACGTGTAAAAATAAAAATGTAACGGAAGTTTTGACAGACAGTGAGAATCACTGGTGGCCAATCTCGTTGCACCTGTACCTCCCTTGCCCATTAACACCTCTGACTTCATACAAAGGAAAATAGAGCAATTGGTGCCCATTGTCCAACTAATAGCCAAGCAACAAACAATTGAAAACAATACTGTACCGAAGGAGGTGAGTTTGGGCCCCCTGGTTCATACTTTAAGCCTAATATTAATAGACATTCAAATAATTACCACCACTGTGGTCTTAAAAATGTGCTGCTAACTATTAAACTTAACCCCCTCCCCCCAAAAAAGATACAGATCCTACAAATAGTAATATAAAACAAAAAATATAGCTAAAACCTAACCCAACATAAATAAGCACACACAAACCCCTCATTTTAAAAAAAATCAAATTAAAAACAAAATATATTAAATCAACGAAACTCAAAAAATAAAATATCTAAACCAACTAAAATCAAGGACAAAAACTGTTTACTATATATAACAAAAAAATCAAATAAGAATATAAAAATAAAACAAAAAAACATCTGGTAGTAAGCAAGTTTTGTTCTAGCCACAATGTTTTATGCAGCCTCCCGTTTGTTTTACGGCAGCTCTGTTTTATTACAGATCCTTTGCAATGACTGCAGCACCCGGTCCACGGTTCAGTTCCATATCTTAGGCATGAAGTGTACAAGTTGTGAATCCTACAACACTGCTCAAGACGGAGGATGCAGGATGGCTCTGGAGCAGCAGTGACTAACACACACATCACGTGTTACTGGAAAGAAAACCATCCTTGTTTGTTACGGCTGCTAAGGCACACGGCAACGTCTCATAGTCCAAATGGTTTCTCTGTTCATGTCCTATCTCAAAATCCCAATTCCTGGTGCCGAATTCAGGCTCCTTAGGAGACTGTCACGCTCTGCTGTTAGCATAGCCTACGATTCTCCCACTGCAGTGGTTGTGAAGTGCAAATCCATGTCAGAGCGCCTGTGAGATCTCACCCCTCTGCTTTCTCCGGTGATGCTCCGTGGAGAGTGTTCTTGTCTGGTGGAACTTCCCCGTCCGTGGTGCTGCGCATCTCACACACAGTGTTTAGTCCTAGAGAACTGCAAGTTTTAGAGGAGAGCTCAGCTGTCTTTTCTACCACACTGTATAGATACATATTTCTAATAAGATGATTTATAAGCAATAGCTGTCAGAACTGAACTGATTCTGTGGCATCTGAGGGCTCTGACCAGATTCTGTGGAGGCTGTTACTTCCAGGAAGAGAGGGCAGCAAGAATAGACAGATACCCATTCTGCATAGAAATCCGTGGGGAAGGTCAGTAGCTTGGAGTGCTATCTTAAGGAAAGCTTAAGTATTCAATCCTTTTGGTAAATAGATTTTGTTTGTAAGTTTATTTGTAGGTGGATGAAGTCTGGGAAATGGAGGTGACTATAGATGGAAGAGGTGTGCTGGTATAAATCGTTCATCTTCATCTACATCTCCCATCCACAACCTGCACAAAGTAAAAACGGGCAGGTTTATTGATGTAAAGCAAGGCTACGGTGTGTCAAATCAGTGTGGGTATATAACACTTTAAAAACAGGGCTCAAAGCTGCTGCTTCTCTCCTGATTTCTCGTGGGAACTAGTTTCTCCACATCCTAGTTCCTTTCACCTACTGCAATTACACTAGCTATTGATTTCTTTCTACCCCGAAGGCCCTGATGCTGAAAAGTCTTACCAACATGCTGCTTTTAAATATGCCAGTGGTCTGTTCACTTCACTGAGTCTATTCAGGTGCATAAAGTTAGGCATGTGCATTTGTCTTTTCAGGATTGAGGCCAAAAATAGTTAATTCCATTGATTCTGCAATTTTGCAGAAATTCTCCAATTTAGGGACACTCTCAGGTGGCTTAGACCCAGTCTTTGGTTTTGTGGTTATGTTTTCATGAAACTAGATCTTACAAAACAGTTGTTAAAATATCCTGAAAATAGTTCCCTCCAGAGCGTCGGCAGTCTGAATACTGGGGGATGGCCCTCCTTTGTGAGAGCCAGTGTGTGACAGTAGCTCCAAGTATATATGAAAGACCTTTGTCTCTTTCATTGTCAATGCAGAAAATCACAAACCTAGCTTCTCACTATATAGCTTATTTTTTAAACTTGTTCTAATTATCTAAAGTGTCACTAAAATTTTATTTTTCATCTGACAGTGTCCCTTTATGCTCAAAAATACTTCAACTCTTAAGTGGTGTGTGGTAGTATTAGTGTATCCTGCTACTGAAATCTAAGTGCATATACATAGGTATCTTTTTCTAAAGCACTTTTCTCAATGCTATAAATTAATGTATTTTGATGTACAGTAATATCTTTAATAAAGCAGATTATAGTAAACTCTTCACTATCTTGGTGGTCGATGTTCCTGGGAAGTGTCAAGTGAATTTGAACTAAAATAGGATGGTGTAAAAATACAGTTTGACAGTTAATTTCAATGGCAGTGATGGATTTTTCACTTCTCTAGATGCTGGACCCACGGGCGTGGGAGAATGCAACTCAGCTGGAATATTACTTGACTCAAAGGTTTTATACTAGATCTATGCTGTGCCTTTTGACCTGCACAGTTGTTTACGCTGGAAATAGTTTTCCAGCAGCTCATGTTGTTCCTCAATCTCTCCATGGCAGTCCCCAGAGCTACACTGGACTCTGCATGCCTCCCTCACGAGGTAATTTGACGTTTTCTCTGCAGTTACGACCGCGTGCAATAAATGTGACGCTAATAGTGCTATGGAATGTTGCAACGTCCATAGTTAGTAAGTTGCAAATTAAGCACAGACAGTTACCTTGACCTCTGGGGTATGTCTAGACTGCACACTCCTTTCAGCAGCATTAGAGTACATAAGCGATACACACCCCTAGCATGGATACAAATAGAAATGTAGACAGTGAGACACAAAGACAGACCTGAACGCTGTGGATACGTACCCTACTCGACTCCGCTTGCCCAAGTGGTGCAGCCCCATCTACACTGCTGTTTTTAGCAGCATAGTGTCCCGCTGCCTCCTAGCCGCTGGAGTCTTTCCCCGTTGCAGGGAAAGGCTCCGGTAGCTGGAAAGACGGGCTGGGGGACGTAGCGGGGAAAGGCTCCGTCAGCTCCCCACTGCCAAGTCTCCCTGCTTGCCCTACCCCCGCCAGAGCCTTTCGCTGACGTGTGTAGCGGCACCCCACAGTGTGGACTCAGCCTGCTTTTCACTGTGGCGTTACACAGGTAACCTGCGTGCTGCTGCGAGAGGTGTGCAGTGCAGATGTAGCCCTTGTGACGCCCCGTTCTAACTTGCTTAAATCCAACATTTGACCTGCAGCTCCCTGACCCCACTTGCTGCTGGATACTAAGTGTATTCATGTCCCATCCTCTCGGATCTCTAGAACAGTAGGCAGGACTAGACGTACTTTTTTTGCAGCACAGGTGAGGAAGGTGGGTGTGTGTTAGGCAGTGGTGAAGTGGACTGATGGCTCCGTTCTTCTTAACTTTGGTAAACAAATCTCTTCCGAGACATTGAGTTCATGTGCACGGCAGCGGGGAGGTGTAATTCCTGAAGTGGGTAGACAGACATGCACTGAAAATAGCAGCGTGGCCATGAGTCTGTACCTAAGATCTCTGATGGAATTGTACTCGGGTGACTAGCCTGAGCTGCTGCCCATGCCGATCAGTGCTAGAGTGGGTACGTCTGCCCGAGCTGGAAATTACACCTCTGGGCTGCAGTGTCGACTTGCCCGATCAGTGACAATTGCCACCACTGTCATTCGAAACCCAAACTGCAAATTAACAGCCTTTCCCCGTGGTACTCGAAGTGTGTTGGGGTGGTTGGACAGCAACTGACAAAGCAAACACCACTGAACACTTTGCCTTTTATATGAATAGGATTTGGGGGGCTGTTCCCCCCCCAACAGAGGGGAGCCTACAAAAGCAACAGTGAAGAAAAATCCTTGATTTTGTCAGTCAAATGAAATAATAGTTCAATATTAAAACTTGTTGATTGAGTGACCTACCCTGCTGTGTCTAGCTTGGGAAACTGCGAATCAGTTTCTCTTTTCTGTGTATGTGTATTTATCAATCAGATTAAAGCTGCTTTTTTTTCTTCTGTCCTTAAGGTCTGATCTTTAAATTGGTCGGGACAGATCCAAATAGTCATACACGTAATGTGCACAGCCTCTATGCCAGTGGTGTGAGCTGGGCACACGGGTAAACGGCCTTTTTTCCATAGGACACAGGGGCAACATCTGTTATGATTTGCTCCATGTTGCTTTGGAAACCTGCAAAATTAACATTCCAGCAGAGGCTAATCGATATATTTACTGGCAAGGAGAAACATTTTGTCTTCAGATCGTGCTCCTGCCAGATTCTTGCAGTGATGGAAGCACAGGCTTGGGACGTCACTGACTAGTCTAGCAGGAGAAGTAGATGTTTTATGTGACGTGACAGATATGTTGGTGACAAACAGATGGGCTGGGGGCGTTGCCCTCCTAAATGCCAGCACTGTCATCATTCAATGAGGGCAAGCTGCAGCTGCTGATAGAAAGATAGTAATTGCACTGCTCAAGAGAGACTCAGCCAAGGTAAAATGCAACTGTTCGGGTCTGCCCAGCGACTGCCACCCTCATTTGGAACTGTCAGTGCTTGTGCTGAGTAGAGCAAGAATTAAAAATACTACTCCAGTCTCTAATAACATCCAGACTTAGCCACGAAATTAGATACAATTGTGTGGACATGCTCTGTATTGCATGAAATATCCCTGTTTACTAATGCAAGCCAACTCCTTTTTTTAACAGGCAGAGGCTTCTTAGAGTTAAGAGCCATTAACGTGGGCCAAGATTTGAAAAAAGGGATGCCTATAATTAAGCTCCTCAGTAAATGTCTGGATTTTCAAAAGAGCTAAGCCCCCCTCTTCCTCCCCCTCCCCCAGCAGCTCCCACTGGCTTCTGGGAAGCTTGGCTGTGAGATTTTTATTAAGAATATGGGTGTGGAAAGCTTCTCAATAGCAACGTGAAGCGCAAGTAGCTGCTTGTTCATGAGTAGGATGTCTTAGCTACAATTTATGCAGAGTCACTGAGTTAATGTTCGTAGCTGCTTTCGTGCAGGGCTTGCCTTGGTCCCAATTTATTTTCCATTCTAATGAGCTATGTAGAATTGGATGCTGAGCTTTGATATTTTTGTCCCCCTAAAAGAAGCCCCTACGTACGTACCTTCCTGTTCTAGCAGTGGCCACTATGGCTCATTGGAGCTTGGGGGTGTAATCATTGCATGAAGCAGGCTGAAAAGAATAGTAATGTGGGATTACAAACTCACATTAGAGAAAATATTTGATGCTCGAGCTGTTTTAGAAGTAGAGAGATGTACCTTGCACATAGAAAGCGGTATCTCCAGGAGACTCTCTTGAATCACTGTATCCATGAGCTGAATTAGGGGGAGGAATAGCTCAGTGGTTTGAGCATTGGCCTGCTAAACCCAGGGTTGTGAGTTCAATCCTTGAGGGGGCCATTTAGGGATCAGGGGCAAAAATCTGCCTGGAGATTGGTCCTGCTTCAAGCAGGGGGTTGGACTAGATGACCTTCCAACCCGGATATTTTCTGAGTTAGGAATAGCTTATCTATTTATGCTTAATTCAAAAACAAAATGACAAGGGGTTAAATAATCGTATCCAGGGATCAGGAGGGATTTTTTTTTGTGCATGCAGGAAAGATACACGAATTATATTTTCCTTAGAAGAACACAAGTTGCATCTGAAGAAATACAGGTGATGGTGGGGGCTGCAGATCAGAAATCACATTGCCAACTTGGAAAGCAAAGTTCTGGGGAAAGGAGTTTTGCCTTTGTGTCTATAAAGAGTGTCCACGCCTGTATTTCTATAGAAATGGGGCATGGGATGGCAGTGGTGACATGGATTGGAGGTGATTGGATGATTACATACAGAAGCTAAGGGTAGCATGGTCCTTGCATCCCTCTGTGCAAAGAGGTCAAACCTTCAGGAATCATGGGATGAAATAGTCCTTGGACTGACTCCTGGTACTGCAGCAGTTAAAGAAGTGAATGGACAGGAAGTGATACAGCTTGCTCCAGGAATAAGAAAACTGTACAGAACACTTACACCTCTGCTAAGTGCTATGGAGACACTACCTGTCCCTCATCTCAGCCTGCTCCCAGGGGACAGCCGGCTACTTTCTCACGTGCCATTCTGTGTGAACGTTTACAAGCAAAGAAAACCAAGTTCCCACGGTTCAGGCCAGCAGGAGAATACTCGTCCCCATGTGCATAACGACAGCCAGCTGGAAAGCAGGGATTTCAGTGATAGGATGTGGAGAGTCCAGGTGTCTATCCCGAATCGGTCACTGTGCTGATTAATCTACCTTGCAGTAACTCACGTACACTAATCCTGTGGTGGTGGTGATGGATTAGCATTTTACAAAATAGGTAATCGGAAGCAACGCACAAATAAATTGCTGGATAACTACATAAAGCTATTGCCAATTGCTTTTCCATACTCCGTTAGCGATATCCTAGATCACGGGTGTCAAATGTGCAGGCCCTGGGCTGGGTACGTGGCTTAATGTATCTGAGGCCCACACAACCTATTTAGACTAGAGAATCTGAACGTTAAACCAAAGTCGGTTTCTGGCCCTCCTGGCTGCATAGATGTGGCCTCTGTTACCAGCTGGCAGGTTAAGCAATACCATGGTGTCTTCCTGAGTCTGCAGCACCAGCCAGCGTTATGGAGGCAAGTCTGCTCTCTGAGTGCACAATCAGCCATTGACACGTGCCCATGGGCAGCTAAGACCGATGCTGGGGTATTGTGCCCCTCTGCCAGGGCGAACCTAATGCTGAACATGTGTCTTTGAACTGAGCGGGGAGGAGGGAAAAAGCTGCCTTTGATTCAATACAGCACTTCCCTGTTGAGCACAGGCTGAGGTGTGTGACTCTGTCCTGTCAGGGCCAGGGTGGACATTTTGTTTCTGTGCTGTCCAGAATGAGAAGGGAATGCATCTGGGTCCCCTCTCCCCATTGCTTGGTTTCCTTAGAGAAATATCAGGCTTCTGCATCAACTAGCACCAGGTGCCTCTCCAAGCATCTCCACCTGGCTGGAGGAGGGTCATGCATTTTCATTTGGCAGGTTTAGAAGAGAAACAAGTTTTTGTTAACTTGACAACTTTTGTAGACATTTGTAGACGGGGTTTCTTCCTATTTCTACTTTCTCCTCCCCCACTTTTGTCACAGAAAAAAGGAGACGCAAGAAGGGAGAAAAGGAAAAAAATAGAAAATATTTATTTACAGATTTTAAGAAAGCAAAAAACCAAACAGAACAAACAAAATTCTGTCCAAAAACAAACTTAGAAACCCTCTC